GTTCCAGTCTTTTATGTATCATTCCTTAACCCACTGTTTTTCAAACTTGGCAACTAAAAGATGTGTGGACTTCAACTCCCAGAATTCCCTAGCCAGCATGTTGGCTGGGGAATTCTGGGAGTTGGTCCACACATCTTCATTGCTAAGTTTGAAAAACACAGCCTTAAACAAAGAGGTTTTTTTTATTATTATTCTTAAGGCTATGCTATGATCTGTTAGTTGGTATAATTCCTATGTTATTCTTGGATAGCCATCTTAAGGAACTTACGTAGATGCTTACTGACCTTTCTTAAAATCAGTGTTAAACAATAGATAAGACTTAAGGCCTTTCCCCACTTGCACCTAGCCTTAACACAACCATGCTCTGCAACCTTTTTATTCTGTTGGGCCCTCATGATTTTGCATTCCTTTCATCTTCAGTCAGTGGCGTTAGGAGTGGGATCAGCCTGGTGCTTTATAACCACTTGAGGTTGGTGCTGGTGTGACCTCTGGTCTCTGTCCTCTACAGCCAATTCTCACCTGGACATCAAAAGAGTCCCCATTTTTCCAACTAGCCACCTCCACTGTGCCCAACACATTTCCAAGTCAGTTCCTGGCCCAACATGTTTTAATGTATCCCTAAGAATGGGTGCTAGGAGGCTGTGCAGTGAAATGGGAGAGCCTGCATTGCTGTGCAGCCACCCTGGGGCTTTTCAGCTGTTTCTCAGATGTCACTGAGAGGTGTGGGGGAACAGCATAGCAATCCCCTAGCTGGGAGATCAAACAGGTGAAGCAGGGAGAGCAGGTTTTTAACCCTCCAGGTAAAGATCACGGACCAGCTCTGGGATTCAAAACCTGGTAGACAGAGCAGCTTCTCCACTCCTCTTGCCCCCTCTCCCAGTCCTGTGGATCAGTTTGCTGAGGGCTTGTCCAGTCTGAAGCAATGACTGATGGATGGCTACACCTAGCTATTTGAACTCACCTCCCAGCCCAGGTAAGGAGAGTGACTGGTGAATGTTTTGTGGGAGGGGAAGGAAACAAAATTGAAGGAGTCCCTTTTTTAAGCTTGCCCTGCACAGTGTAACATCCCCATTTAGCAGCATCTTTCCTATGGCAGGATAGGGATTGAAAGTAGGGGCAGCAAATTGCATGCAGGTGGTTTTCAACTGAGCTATGGGGAAGTAAAATTGTTTTTGTTTTCAGTGGAGGATATATTCAGCTTCTTCCACTGCTCCATCATGCAGGACAAAATAATGTTGCTTTATAGCCCATTTTGTTTGTTTGTTTTAATCCTGCCTGCTACAGGAAGCAAGTCACTGTAGGAGCTTCTAGTTATAGTTGGACTTTTTCATTCAATTTCCTTCCATTTTTTTCTTCACTTTTTCATCTTCCCTATAGGATTGCTGTGGCCTTCGATGCCCAGGAAGTTCCTCACTCTAAACATATTAGGAGAGATCCTGCATGGTTGGTGTTGCCATTTTTAGCAGGGTTCCGCCTTCCCCTCAGGTCCGGCAGGAGAGGCATGTTACAGGTCCCATCTACCAAGGAACGTCATTTGACGGGGCTTAGGAGAGCTTTTTCCGCTGCAGTACCTGCCCTTTGGAACATAATTCCCCCCAAGGTTAGGCTGGCCCTGACCCTGCTGGACTTTCAGAGGCTCTTAGGACATGGTTTTATCATCAGGCTTGGAGATCCAGTGGTGGTATGGAGCCTGTCAGTTGGTTATATTGTTAGCAATTGTATGAAGTGTAGTGTACTCTCCTGCAAATTAAGTTTTAAATTGTTTTAATTGGTTTTTCTAATTCAGGTAGTCCTCACTTGCAGACCAAAATTGGGACCGGCAACTCTGTCACTAAACAACGCAATTGTAATGTGAAAAATCATGTGACCACACCCAACTTAGGATGGCAGTTCATCAGTTCCGGCTGCGATCATTCAGTAAATCACCTGCAGTCATTAAGTGAGATGTCATATGACTGACTTGCAATTTCCTGCCAGCTCCCCCATTGACTTTGCTTGTTGGAACTGGCTGTGAAGGTCGCAAATGGTGACCGTGGGACACTGCAACCATTGTAAATGTGCGTCAATTGCCACACACCTGAATTGTGATCACATGTTCATGGGGACACTGCAACAGCTGCAACTTCAAGGACTGGTTGCAAGTTTCCTTGTTCGATGCCATTGTAATTTCAAATGATTGCTGAATGAATGGTCAGTAAGTGAGGACTACCTGTAGTTTTTATTTTAGTTATTTATTTGGGTTTGTTTTTAATTGTGTGCGAAATCAAGTATGTGAGATGGGCGGCTATGTAAATTGAATAAATAAGTAGTTCAGTGCCAACTGCTCATCCACAAAACAGGACAAACATACATGCTGAGTTTCCATTGTTTCTAGTGAGAAAGCATCAGGCTTATAAAACTGCATATTTTCACTCCAGATATAACCTTTTTAATTATCTAGAACAACAGGCTATAACTAATCACTACAACCTATTTTACTACTCTAGGTAATTATGATTGCTTACTGACTGCCTCATTCAGCGACTGTTTGGTTATGACAGTGCTGAAAAAATAACTTTATGACCAATGCCCACATTTACGACCCTCGCAGGGTCCCTCAGTCATGTGATTGCCATTATAGTCAGTACGTGCTGTCCTGTACCTGACCTGTGGTTTTTCTTTTTTTCCCCTTGCAGAGGGGAGAGATTAGAGAGGAAGGGATTACAAGAGAGTAAGCAGGCACACAATGGGGAATACACATTGAAAGGAATGCTTTGGTGCTGGGACTAAGAGCCACAAGCGCATTACACAAACAGGTGGTATATTTTCCATTGTGTGCCTGCTTACTCTCTTATAATCCCTTCTTCTCCAATCTTCCTGCTCTTTTGGGCGGGGGGGGGAGAAAAATGGGTCAGGCACAGGAAAGCTTGCCTACAGAAATTGCTTGGATTTTTTTCTTCCCCCCTGCCCACACAGAGCAGAGAGATGGCTTAAACAATAATTGTATTATTTTACATTACTATTACTTTTTCTTTGATGATGAAAACAAAATGTGCAATTCCTGTTTATATCTTATAGGACAAAACGTCACATCTGAGCTATTGTGGTAAGAGAAAGAAATGTGGTTAATGGTTTTGCTTTTTGCAACTTTTTATTCATAAGAAATTCCATGAAGCAAATCACCAGGATCCACTTGGAATAGCATTAAAGGTTTGGGTGTAACACCCAGTGGCTTTACAAATGTTGCTGCTAACTGCAATTTTTAATGAGACAGAAAGGTGAGTATGATTTAAAAAATTATCCTTGATGCAAGGTAGTTTGAAACAGTGTATTGTTCTGTATTGAGTTACTCAAATTAGCTACCCTAATCAAATTTTGGAGAACTCATTCCTTTTTGCACACTTGGTTGTTCAATGTAAAGGAACAGTAAAACTACACACACAGCCATAAACAGAAGTTCTGCATTTAATACTCTGCCATTCTTACAGAGTAACTGAATTGTGATTGCCTTCACAGAGACACTGAATATTGTGCAATAATTATGAAAGTGCATAATAAATATTTAAAATGCATTACTTTATTTCAGCTAATAACATTTGACATATTTCTACAATTTACTTTGCACAATTTTCAAACAAATATCTAGCATGTTTTACCAGGAAAGACATTGCTACAACCAGCATTCCTTAAAATATAGAAAAATTTAAGCTATCTTCCCCATTTTTCCTAGCAGCAATATATCAATATTTCAAGTTCACAATTTAAATTCCATGCAATTTCAAGTCTTTTTTTCCCAGTATTAGAACTATTGACCAGTGAAACATATTAGTTGCTAAACTCCAGATTTTTTTCTAGTTTGAAAACCAATTTTTAAAAAATCAAAATTTCAGAAGAGGTGAATTCTCTTTATTTCCTTCAGGACTTAGTTTCATCAAAGGAGAGCTCAGATCTATTAGCTAGAAATAGAAAAGACATTATTAAAACGTTGACTAAACGCAACCTTTATATTCATGGGAATATAAAGAACACCATTTGCTAGGAAATCTACAGTGACAGTGCAGTTTTGACTCCAACCAATTACATCCAATTCAATATTAATTTTGCAATAGCCTATTAATGCCAGGTCTTGGCAGAATTTTGATGTTCTCTTTTTAATATTACATGCAGTATATTTAGCGTCAGATATTGCACAGAGCTTCAAAGATTCAGTTGAGTGCCTCTAACTATAAAAAATTGCAGTTAAACTTTTTGTCATCAACCACATGCAAACAATATTAAGAAGATAAAAATGGAGAATAGTCTTACCTGTCCTGTAGGTTTCAATGGAGGGGCTTTAATAATTTCAGGAGTGTTAAAAAGATCAATGAGAGGTTTGTTTTCACATTCCTGGATGGCCACTGGTGTTTTATCTCTTTCATATTCTATCAACAAGCTCTAGAAAAAGTGTTTTAACATGTTGCTTATTGCGCTAGCATATTCTCTAAAATATAGAACATCAGAACAGCTGCCCCCCAAAATACCTAAATCTTTGAGATTCTCACAGCTGTAACTGCTGCTCTAAACAATCTTTGATTTCAGTGCTTGTATGATGTAATTCAGATTTTCTCCTTAATGAGTCATCAGTGTAAGCTGAAGTTTCCCACACACCTTTCCTAAAAACTGACTCAACAAGAATCTGTATCTCAAGGTACTGAGCGGAGGCACCAATGGACTATTAATATAACCAATATTTAGAATAATTGAATTTAAATTCTTCTCAAGAGATATAAATCTCCTGCAAAGCACATTTAAAAACAAGGCCAACAAAAATCCTGCTTTATTGAAATACCATGATAAGCACCTGCTTAGTATAAAATATTACCATAACGATGTAAGCACACTAGAGGGTGACAGCATCTTTCAAATCCTTTTGAACATAGGTAGTATTTGCAACAGCAATTTCTACTGAAATACAAGTGTTGCATTTTGACATGGCAGGTATTTTTTTAAAAAGACACAGCAACTTACCTCCTTAGCTGGTATTACTTCTTCTACTTTCCCTTTTTTAGTTATGTCTTGTTCTATTTCAATAAAAGGTTTATCTGGTGAAAAATCAAGTGCAATAGGTATAACCTGTGGCAGAGAGAAGTCTTCCTCTGTTGAAGATGAGCTTGAAGACACCCATGTCTTGTTCTCATTCACATATTTAGAACTAGGTAGAAACAGCAAAAAAGCATTTTTATGCAGAATTCCAACATTGGTATCATTTCATTCTGTCATTATATGCAATTTCTCCTTTACCTCAATTCCACAGGAAAACAAAGTTATATGAGAGATGGACTGTCCTTAAAATGTATACTAAAATAAAGTGTTAAGATACTGTAAGATTTTTGTTTCAACAGATAATATATCTGTCTTTCAAGAAATCCTTAAATATCATGAGTCCATGTTTTCACTAGGCATACAAAAATACAGTAAAAAGCCAGCTTGATTCCTTCTTTCCTCAGAAATACATTGTTGTGGCAAATACATATTTACATCATTTGTACATAAATCAGGAAGCCACAGCCAGTAGAAATCACATGCCTATATCATAATACATCATGATGTATGAAGTGATTAACTGAAGAACTCCAAATGTGTTCAGCTGATGGATACCAGCATGGTGTCATAGAAAACCCTGCACCTTTTGTCTAAGTCTGAGCTCTCTTTCATTATAGTTTATTCAGCCAGAGAATTCCATACTGAAACCTTGTAGTCTTATTCTAGAATAGCTAAACTTGCTACATTCCTGGCATGCAAGCCAACATTTGAATTTTCTGAAATCAGTGGTAACCCGGGAAATGAGGCATATTAATAGGCAGTGACTACAGCAATGAGAAAAAGGGCAGAACACTCCACAGTACTGTGCTTGAGCAAGTCTAGATTTACCTAATTCCTGGAGTCTTTTTAGAAGACACACTAGAAACATGAAGAGCTAAAAGATTAGGAGATATCATTGTTCTGGGCACTGTTTTAGGGGTCAGTGTTGGAATTCCTGAGATACGTCGACCGACAGGGGTAGGCAATGTAGAATGCCTCATGTTTGGAGTCCGTAAAGCAAGCTTCACAGCAGAACAGGATTTTTGTACGGTTCCTTCTAATTGTTTGACAGGTGGGGAAACTGCAATATTGCTAGAGAGATTAAGGAAACATGAGAAATTTAACATTTAAAATTACAATCAAAATAGTCCTTATTTTAGTAGCTTATTTAAATTATGTTCAAGATATTCTAAATATTAGAAGGATAACATATCACTCACAGTAGTTCCAAAAGATATACAGGTGGTCCTTGCTTACCAACAGTAACTGGGACCAGGAACCCCATCGCTAACGGCACGGTTGTAAGGCACAACATCGTGTGACCACACCGACTTGCAACAGCAGTTCCACAGTCCCAGTTGCTGCTGTTAGGCAAATCCCACATGGTGACAGCATCCCACAGTCATGTGATCACCATTTGCAACCTCCTGCTGGCTTCCCCATTGAGTTTGCTTGTGAAGGTCACAAATGGCAATCACGTGACTGTGGGATGCTGCGACATCATAACTCTAAACCAGTTGCTGAGCACCAGAATTGTGATCACATGACCATGGGGAAACTGATGGCTGGAGCTACGAGGACCTGTCATAAGTACCCCTCATTCAGCACTGTCATAAGTTTGAACAGTTGCTGAATGAGTGGTTGTTCAGCAAGGACTACCTGTACTTTATAGTGGTCCAATTCAGATATTGCCCCAAACCATAGATAATTAAGCTTAAGAATTATTTAGTGTAATGTCTGAACTGGCAAACCTAAAGCACTGTGCCTTAAGGCTGAGCTTAATTCCACAAACACTTATTGTACCATAGCTTGCTAATTGCCCAGCCCTCTTATTACCAACCCCAGCTCAAAGTTTGTGAACATACAACTGCACGTACAGAATTTATCTAAGTATATTGATATTACAGCATTGCAGGATAGCTTGACAGAGGCTTTACTAGTTTTCACAAGAAATTAAGCATTTGGATTCTCTCTATCAAGATCCCAATCACTTATGTTACAAAACAGTTCAAGAGAAGACTAACAATGTAGTGGAAATCAGTACCCATAATCATAAAATTTTACCTTCCAATATTGCTACAAGACAGTACCAGATTTGATTGCAATACTCTGGTGGCTTCATTTTCTGAAAATGTATCTAAGGAGAAAATACAGTTGAAGTGGTTATATTAATTTTTCCAGGCACTCAAATATTCAACTGCTTAATTCAATCCTTTTTGGCCAGCATGTACAACAGTGCATATTAAGTACAGAATCAACACTGTCCAGAAGTTAGTGTAATTTAATGCATTAAGATCAGTTTCCTTACCTCTCTTTAAGTTTGGGGGTGCTGTTTTAGAGTTAAGTTTAGGACTTGAACTTGTACTTGCATTTCCCAGTGTGTTTTTTGGTAATAATTTCTGATCAGAACCTCCTTTCTGCAACTTACTGCTTGCAGTCTCAGATGTCAGGGTATATTTGGGTATATTCACAGGATTTCCTTTAGCACCACATCTGGGTGTGGGTTGCTTTCCAGATGCATCAGAGTGGGCAGCATTCACTGAAACCCCTTTCATAGGTTTAACTATGGAAATCTTGCTTGTTCCGGAAGAGTGCTTGGAGATGCCTGCAGGAGCTTTTGTAATACTTGTTTTGACTAGGAAATAAGAAGACAACACAGATTGCATTATCATTATTGTAGCCAAAACTTTTTAAAATGTCATAAAAGCAGACACCAGTCCCTGCTGCAATAGCCTTATACTCTGGATAGCAATAGGCATCCACATGTGTATGAAATGACAAAAGCAATGTTCCGCACTCCTGATGCAAGCTGAACCCCTTTAAGTATTTGTCATGATGCTGCACGTATGGATGAAAGGAAAAATAGACCGTGTAGCATCCCACACGTCCTGGGACAGATTTGTTTTTTTGAAAGTAACAGTCTGGTTGGACGAGAGCTACCGTAGCCCAGTTCCCTTCACCCAACCCACTGAAGCAATCCAGGAGGATACTATAGTTAAGAGTATCTGAAGTCATCTAATAGAATAGGAATACTTCATTTTACATACAGTGCATCTGGAAAGTGTTCAGATCCCCCCCCCCTTCACTTTTTTCAATTTTGTTATGTTGCAGTCTGATATTACAATCATTCAAATTCATTT